ATTAAATAGTGAAAAAAGTAAACAATGAAGGGAAAGAAAATAGTATGAAAAAAAAAATTAAATAACAAAAGAAAAGGAAATAGTAACATATTTGGTAATCAGGGTCCCTAAAATCAAGTTTAATATTGAATTAACTTATGATGGTAGATCCAATCTTATTTTGAATTTAAATAACAAAGTAATATATATTATGCACAAGTGTGATGTATATTGCAATTCAAATCACGCTTTTCTTTCAATCTAGCACACCATTTTTTTTTTGAAAATATGATCGATGTACATTACATATAAAACAATTATATGTTACGAGTTAAAATGGCATACATATATAAGTTTGCATTGAAATATAAACTAAATCCCGAATAAAAATTTTTAAGTTACTAAACATGGTATTCTTTTTAGATTTTTTTTTTTTTAAATCATGTCTCTACAAATTATTTAATCAATTTATGGTATAAAGTTGAAAAAAAAAAATCAATTTTGGTTTAAAGTGAGCGATTTTATTTGAGGAATCAAGAATTAATTAAGATATAATGTCCATTAATTAATTCGATTATTGAGAATCAAGAATTAATTAATTTATTATTATTTCACCGAAGCTAGCGCTCGTTCATCACATTATAACTATGTCGGAATTTAATCCACCTACAGAGTTTAGCATAATAATCATTTATGAACTCACTCTGGGGACATCATCAAACTAACACGCATGGTGACCGTCAATATATCCTAATAACACATCCTACATGTAGCAATATTACCCAAGACAGTGGGTCTATTGGTCCAGTTCATTAAACCTCACTCATGTGAATCAAACTAATAAGTACTACACATATATGCATGTTTAATATCTTACGGGTTAAGAGTACGCAGTAATTAACCAAGGCCTAGTTCGTTTACGACGATCAGTATAAAACGAACTGCTCCTCTCTGGGATCCTGTTCAATACATAAATGTACTAGTGCAACTAATCAGTCAAGACAAACTGTACAGTTGACAATACAACCATTTTGATGGGGTGTTCATGTTCATCTGGGTTGTGAACCATTAATTCTTGTTTCGCGAGTAACTGATAGTATGATCTTTGGTTCGCCCGATGACGACCCACACTATCTAATGCAAAACAACATAACGTAGAACTTGTTTAATTTAACATGTTTATCATTCATAAAGGGTAAAAGTGTAATATCATCCAAAGTCAAGCTTCCAGTAAATAACACTAATAGCGGTACCCTTTGGCCTTTAGATAGTATTAGAATATCGCTTGTGAGTTGTCTCAAATCCCTTCTAAAGAAAAAATGGGCCTAACTTATAAACCTAGTGGGCTATTACTCCCATTACCAGTTAGTTTTGGGATGGAACATCACTAAGGTGTATCTAGGTTCACCCTCTTATGGTGCTCATGGTATCATAGCAAGTCTAACCTATGACTTGCGATGACTTCCCGACCTGCTATGTGGACTTGAGTTTCGTATGAAAGACTCACAAGTGAGTATTAGAATATCACGTGTGATTTGTCCCACATCGAAAATGAGCATGGCATCAGATCGGGCCTAACCTAGGACCCGCGATGACTTCCCGGTCTGCTATGTGGGCTTGGACTTCGTATAAAGGACTCACAAGTGATGAGTCATATTAGAATATCACTTATGAGTTGTCGCACAGAGCAACCCTAGCCTAGGACATGTATGACTTCCTGACCTGCTATGTGGGTTTGGCCTTCGTAACATCACTTGTGGTTGTATCACATCTCTTCTATAGGAAAATGGGGCATGGTATCAGAGCGGGCCTAACCTCAGACCTGCGATGATTTCTCGGTCTGCTATGTGGACTTGGGCTTCGTATGGATGATTCACAAGTGTGGGGAGTATTAGAATAGCGTCGTCCCACATCCTTTCTACAGAAAAATTGGACCTAGCCTATAAGTCTAGTGGGCTACTCCTTCTATTACCAGTTGATATGAAACCTCATTAAGATGCACCTATGCTGCCTAGTAGGCTACTCTTTTAATTACCAATTGGTTTTGTGATATAACATCACTAAGGTTACATATGCTCACCCTCTTATGGTGCGCTTCACGTGCATGAGACCGCACCCACTTCCAAGGTGCATCTATACTCATTCTTCTATGGTGCGCTTCACGTGAATGAGACCGCACATAATTCAGGCATAGAATACTTTGATGTGTTCTTGAGTAGAGGTGAAATGAACTACGCGCGGTTGCACAAATGACACAACCTTCAAAGCTACATTGTCTATATTAAGCATGTGAATTGTATTTTTTCTTAGAACTATATAATAATAATTATTTTTATTTTTTTAACTTTTGTTAGTGGGATTTGTAGAAAAAGAATGACGTGAAATGAACCATATTTTCTTTTAAAAACTTTTTTTTTTTTTTTT